CTATATCCCTTAAATTTAATATAAAAATTTGTTATACAAAAAAATTCGTTAACAAAAGTCTCATTTTATTATACTTGGTACAAGATCTTCAATTCGTTATGCGTAATAGTAAAATTTATTATAAAAATTCATTATATTCAATTATTTTATTTAATAAAATTCAGGACCACTCATATAATTCATAATAACAAAAAATTCGGAATATAAAAATTCGTTATAGAGAGATTTAACTGTATTAAAATAAGTAGATATATGTATTAAATATATATATTTCTAAAATTCTATTATATATATATGCAATAAACTTATTAAGATATTTATATAATAAATTTTTAAATAGCTTCTATAATTGTATATAAAATATGTAAACTGTCAAATCAGATTTATCTGTAAAACTTTAATAAGATAATAATTTCTAGTAATTTTTAATTAGTTAAAATTATATATAAAGTTATAAAAAAGTTAGCTTTTCAAATTTGTTTACAATTATTATTGAAACCTAATATAACTGATATATTTGATTTGGATTACTAATAAATAATAATAAAAGTATTATATAATGATTAGAATTATTACTATTAAAGATAGTATTACAATTAGTTGTAATTATATAATATTTATTTGTCACTAGTTACAATTAGTTGTAATGTTATTTTTAAATACTATTATTTTTAATATATATTGCATTTATAATAAATTAATATGAAAAAAGGATTAATTTAATTTAGATGTTTTTATTTCATCTTAGTATATTAATTAACAATATATTATTATATAAGTGATATACTTTAAAGTTGGTGTTATATATTTTAAAACTAGTCTTTATCTCTAATCTAAAATTTATAAGAATAAAATTATATTAGTATTATTTTTTTTTTAGTATCTATAAGATATATATCTATATAGGTATTTTACAGTAAAAAGAAAAAACTACTAAAAAAATTTTTTAATTTTATAAATTAAATATTATTTTTTAATAAATAAATCCAAATTTAATGTTAATTCAAAAAAAATTTTTTGGTAATTTCTACTAAAAGTGCCTATAACCATTATTTCAATTAAAAATATAATATATAATAAAAGGATCATAAGATAGATGAAATTTTGATATTATTTATAAATAATCATTATATGATTTAAGAATGATATCTTGATTAGACAAATATAACTCATAGTTATTATTAAATATAGTTACAACTATTTTAGAGATTATAAATGTATTGTAATGACAGATATCTTGTATTCAATTATCATGAATAATCATTGTGATTTTATCAATTACATTTGTCAAAATTAGATTTCTTACAAGATAAAATTTTAGATATATTTGTTTCTGATTTTCCTGACGCAGTATGTCGATCAATTTTGATGATGTAATGCAGATCTTCCTTAATATGATCTAAATGATCATCTTTCTAGAGCTAATTTGCGTTGACAATGATTATCAAATATAAATTAAACTTTAAATTTTTAGCATTTATTATATAGTATTACAATTTATTTGTATTTAAATTTATCAGCGTAAAATAAAATGCTCAATTTTGTTAAAAATTAGATTTGAATGTATCATCGTCATATTATCATCTATAAATTTTTCTTGGCAAAGTAATCGTCGTAAATCTGTATCGCACAGCGTCTAATTACAGTAATTCGAAATTTTGAGGTAAAGAACCAATTAACATGGCATCGGTAAACATCATCTTTCGTTGAATTTTAGTAAAAGCTGAGAAATCACGAATTGCAAATCTAAAACATAAATTTGTCTCTTGTGAAGTTACTATCGAGTGTATTATCTCATTCGTATAACGCTTTAACAAATTTTATAAGCATAAGAGTGAAATCATGACAATCACAAAAAATTTAAAATTTTTTTAGTTCAAGGTATGTATTAGTTTATTTATTTGTATTAATTACCGGATTTATTACAATAATTTTCTCTAAGTAATAAAAAAAAAAATAATAATAAATAAACAATAGAATTTTACACTGTATTATAAATGAGCAGGCTCGGAAAAAAAGAATGTTAAGGAGGAATTAATGGATCATGTAAAAAATTTTTTTTCTACGTGGTTTACATTTTAAATTTATTTGACGGCTTTAAGGATTTTTTCGCATTTTCTTTTTTGACCTGGGGCTACACGCTTCTTTGCCAACATTTTTTTGCATTTAGCAGCAGCCTTCGAAAGTCTTTTTGATTCAGCGGTTTCCTTCTTGACTTCTGCTTTTCCAAAATTTGGCTTTTTGTTCAATTTTTCACCTTTGGATACGAAAGGTGGTGGTCTCTTCTTAACTTTAGTTGGATCTTGGGCTTGGAATACTCCAATAAGTTCCTTATTTTTTGGTCTCTTATCACAGAAGTTTGAGGGTTGACCTAATAATGGGGTATTGCGCTCAAGTTTACGATATGCGATAGCAATCTTGATAAGCTGGGCCCTCTTACTTCCATCTTTTTTAATTTAATATTTAATAGTAATTTTTAATTTAGTAATTAAATACAAAAAATGATTATTCAACTTCAAAGGGTTAAAAATCTATATAACTTACTGGTTTTTTTGGCAATGTCGATGACTTTATCAGCAACGTTTTGTTGTCCGCAAGCTGGGGCACCGGCCAATAAATTATCGACGGCTAAACCGGATAAGTCACCAAGTTGTTCACCGAAAGGAGTACCAACGGCGACAGCTCTCATTCCTCGGAAAGTTGCTTCGGCTGCTGGTGTATGTTCTTGTGTGAATCGTCCATCGGTGACAGCTGCAACAGCTGCGAAAGCAATGATGAATGATGTGAATTTCATTTTTGATATGAAATTAAGTAAACAAAAAAAGAAAATGAGAGTAAAAAAAAAATGGTAAGGTAAGGAAGGATGAGGGGAGAAAAGGAAGGGAGGTGGTTGGCCTGCTCACAAAAGAGTGTAGAGTAGGGAATTAAGTTGATAAAATTTGTAAAATATAGTGGTTGAATTTTCAAAAGATGAGTTGAATAAAGGTATATTTATACATATTTCGAACCTTTAGTCGGATATGATAAAAAAACTTCTTAACTAAAAATAGAGGTTGTGAAACAATCGAGGGAGTTGCATGTTTTGATCTTACTTTATTGGTAAGACTTCAACAAACCCAATCCTAGTTATGAAATAAATTAAATGATTGTGTACAAAAAAGAGATGACTTCTTATTTAGAGAGTGTAATTCGTTAAGAGAGTTGCTATCTAATCTTAATGTTGTTATCACAAGTGAAATGTGACATTTTTATTTTTTTGATAACGAAGAAACCTATTAATATTATTGGCCGTGTGAAATCAATTTTGTAAACGATGCAAAGCGCACAGAAATAATAAGAACTCATAGCGTACAAAATAAATTTTTCAACAAATTTCCGCATATTTCTAATAAGGAGTTACAATCAGGGAGGTACTTTTGTTACTTTCTTGGAAATTTTTAATTTAGATAATCGAGGAAAATATATTTTGCGCAGCAACGTTGAAATACAAAGCGCGTTGTGTCCGAACTTTAAATTAATTAAATTAAATTGGTATTTAAGGTTACCATAAACGTTCAATTAAAAATTACTTGATGCAGTCATTACGATCAATTCACGAATAATGAATGGTTGGAAATGCGTTATGCTGTGTTAATGTGCACGCCCAATAATATGCATTTTATTGTCGAACAAATCATTGAATTTACGTCACGCAATTTCACACGTGTAATAAAATCATAAAAGGAGATACGGCCGAAAAAAGTACAAAAATAATATTAAAATATGTCACCACCTTAATTTTGTGGACCCCTTAATGATTACTCTGTGGTACCAAAGAGTTCAACAAATTTTTTACTCGTTTAACTGCGCCACAACTCTCAGTCTCACGTAATTTACCGTCCATTTACCAGTTTCCGAATTATATGCTTCATCCTTACAAATCCTTTCGATTTCACTTTTAACCGTCTCTTTTTCATGATCATTCAAAGGAGCAAAGAAGGAAAATCCAAAAGTTTCGACCCATCCGCCAAGTGAAGTTGGTAATTCTGTTGGCCTTGGAAAGTTAGAAATGAAGTCGACGCTAAATTTATATTTGTTTAAAAGTTGTATGTAATCTTCTGATGATGGGAAGTACCTAAAGTTGGGAAATTTTTTTAATCAAGGGATAAAAATACAATGATTGAATCAATTGAATTCTGTTTTTACCATGGTGAAAGTTCTTTTCCATTGTAACCGCGTTCATCTAAAGACCTAATTAAGGACTTTTCAACAACTTTATAAATAAAATATATTAAAAATTCAATTATCTAATCTGACCCAAAAGTGATGATCATACATATGAAGTATTTTACTTTGTACATTCCCGGAACTTCCCAATTCTACGACAAATCTGCCATCATATTTGAGACTCTTTGCGATACCTTCGATCACAGTTTCTTGATTCTTCATCCAATGAAGCGCTGTAAAAATAAAATTTTAAATTTTTTTGAATGATTAAAATTTTTTTTTTTAAAAAAAATAATCATTACCTACCAGCATTTGAAAACACAGCGTCAAAGTAACCAATAAAGCCCTCTTGATTAATCCACTCGACCAATTTTTCACCATCGACCACCCTTACGTTTTTACATCCATTCGTTTTGGCTTCCTCAATCATGGATTGACTTTTATCAATTCCAATACATTCTTTACACATTTCTTGAATTTGACATGTTAGCACCCCATCTCCACATCCTAAATCCAAGATTCGTTCATGTGATTTCGGAGAAAGGAGTGCGAGAAGATCATGTCGTACCAGGTTTGGTACAAAGTTGGCATGAAGTTTATAATTTGTTGGTGACCATGGATCGATTTTTTCTTTGTTATCATCCATCTTGTAAGGATGAGAAAAAGTTTACTATGGATGTGTTCATATTTATAACTCTTTTTTTTTTTTTTGTTTTTACGCGTAATTGTACTTCGAGTGAGATGACTCGATTTAAGTCATAAAATCGATTGATGAGTCAAATTAATTTTGTCCTGACTTAAAAATAGAACTGTAAATTCCGGCAAAATCCGGAATCCCCGATAAAAATTTTGTGTTCCGGATCCTCAGCCGGTAAAATATTTGCTTTCCGGACTTTTGGCCGGTAAACTTTGATTACTAAAGATTTTTTTTTTTTTTTAACATTTTCCTCTTTCCAAACTCTCGGTTATTTTTTTAAAAATTTTGTTAACTGCAATATAAAGGGAGAAACTGCCGGGAAAAATAAAAAAAATCGAGTTAGTGCTAAATCGGAACTTGAAAATCATATTTGACATATGAAAGTGAAATGGATTTCTTCCGGCAGTTCCCCCTTTCTACTGCAATAAAGGATTTCCAAATCAGGGTTTGGAGTGACTTTTCTGAGGCGAACAATGAAAAGTTCATCGGATTCGATCATTTTAGAATGGTCCCTTTATTATTTTTTACGATTAACTAAACCTGAAGACATATTCGGTACTTCTGAATCTGGAACAATATAAATGAGAAGCTAAATTTTTTGATGACATAAACACGTGAAGGTCCAATTTGATTGTTCAAGCAGGTTTTTTTTATTTTCCTTTTTTTATTGAATATTGTTTAGATTTAAATTGTAAATTTGGACTCTACAATCAACTTGCACTAATTACGTCAACAAAGTAAATCGCATGATTTGATTTTTATTAGGTACAGTAAAAAGGATTTCAATTTTAAATTCCAAATTTGGTCATCATTTTTTTTTAATTATGTACAATAATAATCTTATGACCTTTTTATTTTTTCTTTAAAAGTAAAATAAAACGAAAAAGGAAGAATGATATTTATACAAATGCTGTTCTAATATACAACTAATCTTACAATAAAAAAAATATATATAAATATAAATATCTTCACATTCTAAGACGTTTGTGTAACCTTTTTAATAAATCTTTGCAAATTGTTCGAATAATTTTTCTTGAATCCTTTTCAAGATGACTATAGCAACATCTTCCCACTTAACTTCCAACATCACATCATGAGCAACATCCCTAACGATATCAACCTTAATTCCGCCATAACTTTTACCTAGCTTATCCAAAACATCAACCGGTATGATACAATCCTTTTCTCCGCCAATGATAATCATTGATTTCAATAATTTCTTTTGATTCAAGATTTTTTTCGTGTCGATAAACGTTGTAAGTGTCTGTAAATTTACTTTTGTATTGAAAGTTCTTTCGAATTTAGAGTGATATTGATCGAGTAGATCCTTTGGAAAGTTTGAAGAAAAGTAAGCTTTTCGAGCTCGTTCGGGAGTGGAAATTAAGAAATAGGGATTTTGAAGAAGCAAAGCGGATAACGTCGTAAGTGATACGCTCGAGAACCAATTTGGAAATGAATAAATCGAACCGGTCGGAGGAATCGAGCAGAGCAAAACGCATGAAGTTACTCTATCGGATGAGTTTTCTAAATATTTTTGACATATTGCTCCACCCATCGCATGGCTAAGATGAACCAGAAAGATTAAAAAAAAAATATATATATATATTTTAAAGACGTGATTGAAAGAAAATTCTGATTTCAAAAAAAAAAAAAAAAGGTTTTGATCTTACCCGATTATTATCGGTTTCGAAAGACCATTTGCAATTAAAAATTCCACAGCAGAAGAAACCTAAAAAGTTAAAGGTACAGATTTAATAATAGTCTTTAACCTTTTCAAAATAAATTGGTCAAATATATACATCTTCCACGTAGTGTTCCAAAGTCCACGTTGAATCTTTTCTCGGTAATTTTGTACTTTCGCCATGTCCACGTAAACTAGGTTCATCATGTTAAATAAATTTCAATCGATTTTTTTTTCTATTCAGAAAAAGGTTTCAATTATTGATTTACCTTAGGGCAAAACAATCAAATCCTCTACCAGAGAACCATCCAAGAAAGTTTTCCCAACACCAAGCCGCATGATATGACCCATGAACGAATAATAAAGGTGGCAATTTGATGTGTTGTATCTGAAAAAAAATGAACGATTTTAACGACAAAATATCAATGATAAATCATCTCTTAAAAATGAATGTCCTTTAATTGATTTTGGATTCCTTTTTCTAATATAATCAACAAACCTTGTTCGTTCCGATATTACATAGTAGTTCCAATTGAGTATTATCGGTGGAATCAATGAAAATGGTTTTATAAGTAGGGAGATATTTTGTTGAATATGACATTTGTTGCTTAAAAAGACTAAGTGAAAAATTGAAGGTAATGGTATAATAATATGTAAAAGGTGAAAATAGATCGTTTGCGAATAAAAATTTTTGGAAAAAAAAAAAATAATAATAATTTTTAATATAGTTATATATACTTTTTTTTTCCTGAACAATGATAAAATCGATTACGGATCGAAATTATGCAGTTTGAAAATCAAAAAGGTGTTTACAAGTCTTAAATATTGTGCATGTTAAAAAAAAAAAGGGAATTGAAAGTCAAAGGTAAAAACTAAAAAACATTATTCCACATATGAAAATCTATTTATGACTGACATTAAAAAGGCATGATCTGGTAATCTAGCCCCCCTTTCATTTTGTTTACATTACTATAGTAAGTTAAAATTTTCATTATCTTTCTATCATTTATGCACAATGATGGTGAAATGTATTAATTTATAATTTCTTATCAAAATTGATTTTAGTTATCTTATCGTTTATTTGATAAAAAAAATTGCGTTATTCGGCCATTGTCACGAGATCATTCTGCAAATATGCAAATATGCAAACAATTGACATCAATAAAATAACCGGATAAAAATAGCGCTATATGTTGTGAATCACGGACCACCTTTAAGGGCAGTTTTATGACATCTGGTAAATCGTCAATAGCGAAACCTATTAAACCATACTATTTTTGTCAACTTTGTAGCCGGAATTTGTCATAACCGAAATTAATGTTCATAATATCCCGAAATTTCTATTGAATAAAAGCCGAATTGTTGCCTTTTTTCAAAAAAAAAAAAAAAAAAAAAAAAAAAAAAAATAGGGGCCTGTGATATGCTGAAAATAGGATATTCACGGGAAGACTCAAAATCACATATTGGACCTTTGCAATAGAAAGGGGGAAAACAGCCGGAAAAATCAATTTTACTTTTATATGCCAATATGATTTTTAGGTCAAAATATGTTCAGATTTAGCATTAACTCATTTTTTATTTCTTCCAGCCGTTTCCCCCTTTTCTATTGCAAAGGTCCCATATTGTCACCCTTCCCGGTTATGTATCTGCTTTTAATTCGTTTTCTTTTCATGCACGCTCTATTTATTGTATATCCCTCACTAAAATGTACTTCATCTCTAAATAATTTCATTCAATGGTACACACCTCTAAATGGACGATTATGAGGGGTGCATCAACATATAGAGAACTTTTATACTAAAGCTTTATTTGAAGAAATTTGATGAATAATAAAACGATTATATGCTTTTTCACGACCTGATTGGATAGTCGTAGTATTTGCTTACAAATTCTTTTTTTCCAAATATTTATCTATTAAATTTCGAGTGTTGACATCATCCAAATAAGAAAGTTGTTCGGAATAAGATTATATACTAAATCGTTAAAATTGACCAATTTCTTCAAGATAACCAACTGTTAATTGTTTTTTATACATACGCCATCAATCGAAGGAATTTCACCTTCGATTTTAATTATACGGTCTAAGCTGAATAGTCTTAGTGACCGTTTCCAAGCCGGATGTTGCTAAGACTTTAAAGTTGTTCCTAAAAAAATACAATAAAATTTAATTTAATTTTTTTTTTTTACACAGGCAAATGGTAAAATCAATGTGTTTAATTATACTTACATTTCTTCAATTATAGCGTAATTTATTTCTTTATTGGTTTCATTATTTGCTTCATGTCTTTGATTTTCCAAACAAAAAAAAAAAAAAAATTTTTTTTTAATTTTTATAAAGAAATAAATAAATTATATGAGACAAACTCCTTACCTGAGACTTCATAAAATCAATATGTTACGAAAACCACCGGGAACAGTAAGGTTGCCGGGCAAAACCAGGAGGTTTAGGCATTGAAATTGAAACCCGTCGAAACCCGTCGTCGAAATCCATCGAAATCGAAAGGTTTCGACCTTTGCCAAAATGGATTAGGGTTTTGCTCCACAACCTTAGCTCCTTTATTTTATCATAAAAATTGTTGTCATCATCTTTTCATCGAAGTGTACAGACCCAACCCTAATTTTTTTAAAGTTATTTTGTAAAGTCAATTTAATAATTTGCAATTTCTTCACCAAATTAACAAATTCGAACCTCTCATTTTTTAACCACTTCTCAATACTCAAATAACTCACCCCCATAAAATCTCCTTCAAAAATAATGTGATTCTCCAAAATATTACAGCATGTTCGTTCTTTGTAAACGGATAAATCTTTTTTAAAGAAAAAAACGGAAAATTTATATAAAAAAGTAGTTGCGTAATCTAATATCTTCAGGTGGTGACTAAGATAAATCGATGGCTAAAATTGCCAAAAGTTTCTCCGACTGTTGTAAGAAGTAGACCTTACAACAGGTGTAATTAAAAACTTTTAACAGCATTAGGAACGAAGGGAATATCTAGTTCATCTTAGTATCACCATGAAGTGAATATCAAATTCAGCACCACCTTCGTAAATCTTGTGACATTCTTGAAAATTAATAAAATTTTTTAAAAATTTTTTAACAAAAGGAGAGCGTATGAGTATTTAATTTAATTTTTATAATGCTTACAATACTAGGTAGGTAATGGAAACCGTTGAAGCGTCCAAAGTAAACAGATTTATTTTTTTTTATTAAAACAAATTTATAGAAAATACTTCAATACGTCACCAATATAATTGCGACCATAATTTTTTTATAATTATGCTAAAATAGTAAATCAAATATTTGTATATGAAAATATATTTGATCTAACTAGTATAAAAGAAATAATTGCATGAGTCTCAAGAGTAAAAATTATTATTTAAACATGTTATTGTTATATAAATTAATGTATATAAACGCATTTGCAGTAGAAAGAAAACTACCAAAAAAAATTTTTTTGAGTTAATATTAAATCTGGATTTACTTTACTAAAAAAAAAAAAATAATTATATTTAGCTTATAAAATAAAAAAATTTTTTTTTGGTAGTTTCCTTCCTTTCTACTGCAAAGTGCCTTGAATAGGTAATCTAAAATATTAATATTTATATTCTATCAAATTTTTCTCAATCTTTTAAATAAAGAACTTGACATATCATATACTTTCTTATGTTGTTTTTTGTCAGATTTACTTAAATACTGAAAAAGTTCTATTAATAACTTTTCAATTGAATGTCAAAGATAAGTTATTTGAAATATTACTAATTTGTATGATTATATAATACAAGTTAAATATTTATTCCCATATTTGTATATTATTCATTTATACATTAATGAATTTTTTATAATAAATTTTCAAAATAGAATCATAATTTATTTATGTTTACTTCTTATTTTACATAATTTTTTCTTTAGGTATAATAACAAAAAAAAAAGTGATAAATTTTATTAGAATATTTCAATATATTATTAACAAATATTTAGTATTATAGCCTTCTAGTTATAATAAATATTTTTTTATAAATCTGCATAAATATAATAAATATATAACATTTATGTTGATCATTTCAATATTTTTTTTTTAAATATTTAAAATAATTTTTTTCATTTTTCCTTAGTTTTAAAATATTTTTTTTTCAATTATAACTTCAGATGGTAAAATATAATAAAAGATAGCTAAATAATATATTAAAATATTATAATCTTCCTGAATTATATTACTAAAATATTAAAATAAATAAAAATATAGACATATAATAAAATATTATTAATTTCTTTATAAAACAATAGTTTAAATAATTTTTAAAATATGTATCTAAAACTTGATTAATACATATTTTAGTTTTATACTTAATAAATATGTAATTTTCTTTAATTAATAATACATCTTTTGAAATATTAGTATTTTTGATATAAAAGCTTATCAGTAAAAAAATGAGAAATCTAAAATTTTCTTTAATTTTAATTTTAAGCAAAATTTTAAACATATACAGTCAACCCTCTCTAAATGCACATACTATATATTTTCTCTCTAAATGCACGCTCTTGTTCAGTTCCAAGTATATAGAATTCATATAAAAATTTTCTCTTTAAATGCACACTCTCTTTAAATGCACATTTTTTAAAATTTTCACTATAGTCCCGAGGGGATGCATTTAGAGAGGGTTGACTGTAGGTTAATTGCTAAGAAATCAGGTTTCAGAAATTTTTTAACAAATTAAGATTTTTATTGTATTTTAGTTTTTGATGTTATTAGATTAAAATGTATTAAGCTTTTAATTTAAGTTAAAAATTTCTCAAAACCTGATTTTCTTAGAAACTCTTTTATATGACTGTGATTATTCAAGTAAACTAATAAAAAAAATTTATCAAAATTTAGATTTTTCACTTTTCTATTAACTAGCCTTTATATTTGAAATTAATATTTATATAGTGATTACCAAAGAAATGTAAATGATTATTTTTTAGGTTTAAAAGTTTATAACTTATTAATTATAAATACTAAAGTAATGATTTTATATATTTTTTAATCCTTAGATTTTTGAAGATTATTAGTCCAAAATGAAGTGAAGAACTATATATATACATCCCAATAAAAAATTTGATATAAAAATTCCATAAAAATATTAAGTTTTATAACGTATAACTTTTATGGAAAAT